TTTATTTTGAAACTCCATTTTTTTAAAATATATTCATTTTCAACCATACATTTACGCAATAAAATATTATATACATAAATTAACCACATAAAATGTTCAGTAGCTGGTCGTTATTTTTTCATGGGTTAAACGTCACGTCGCCCTGTTCGAACAGGGGTCCAATGACGCGCCCCATATTGAGGCTTCCCGCCTATGGGGATGCCACATTATCCCTTCGGACAGAGAGGGTTGATGTGACCTTATCCGTCTAGCACAGTTCTTTTCGCTTCGACTTATATTTTCGTGGCTAGTTGATATCTAGTTATAAGGATATATTAGTCATTTGAGAGATTACAAAGACGTAAAAAATGGTGTGCCCACGAAAATTCAAAATATATTTTCTTCGCCTATATATATACAATTCACAGTAGATGCACACACCTTTACGCTCGACTCTTTTTTCCGTATCATTTTCTCCCCACAACAAATACTAAAATTTTACACTATGGTTGCCACGGCAAACGGATCCGGCAAGCCCTACAAGTTCCTAATTTACGGCCGCACCGGATGGATTGGTGGGCTCCTCGGTAAGCTTTGTGAAGCTCAGAAGATCGAATACGTTTACGGGTCGGGTCGGTTGGAGAACCGGCCCTCCCTTGAGTCCGACATCGCCTCGGTGCAACCGACCCATGTATTCAACGCCGCCGGTGTTACTGGCCGGCCTAATGTCGACTGGTGTGAATCCCACAAGGTGGAGACCATTAGGACAAATGTTGTCGGCACGTTGACGCTTGCTGATGTATGCAGGGAGAAGGGATTAGTTTTGATAAACTATGCCACTGGATGTATTTTTGAGTATGATGATTCGCATCCGCTCGGGTCGGGTATCGGGTTCAAGGAGGAGGACACTCCGAATTTCATCGGATCCTTTTACTCCAAGACGAAAGCAATGGTGGGTAATGTTCGGATTTATCGTTATTGTGTTTTATGTATTTATGGTAAACATGTTTCAGATCTGTATGTTATAATTCTAGATCTTGAATTTGGATTTTCATTTATTTATTGATCTTGATGTGTGGAAAGTTGCAGTTCAACTGTTAGATTTGTTTATTGAACTAATGATGCATTAATGTGGAAATTTGAAATCAGTTTAGGCTCAGTTTGCTAACATTCAGCTACAATTAAAGAAATTTATTGGATTATCGAAAGTTTCGACCTTGATAGTGAATAGAACATAGATGGCATGCGTTAAGATGAGTCACTTGTTGCGATCTCAAAAATTTAGATGACTAGATTGAGGTTACCATGGAATGAATCACCTGAAGTTAGTAAATTTAAGTACATGGTTGATGTATTTCGTGGATAATTTGTTGTAATCTGGATCTTTTCTACTAATCTTATGAAAATGGAAAGAAATTCTGTTTGTAAATGTCTTGATTTACAAAATTTAAAATGGATGCTTTTAGTAAATTGGATCAATGTGATGCTTCTGTTTGTTTTTTGGTCTTTGGATATGTGTAATTATGAACTTGTGATCTTTGGGTGGTCCTGATGGAACTTCCCTTTTACTGTTATTTTGGCAGGTGGAGGATTTACTTAAGAACTACGAGAATGTCTGTACACTGCGAGTAAGGATGCCCATCTCATCTGATCTATCAAACCCTCGCAATTTCATTACCAAGATCACTAGGTATGAGAAGGTGGTGAACATTCCCAACTCCATGACAATCTTGGATGAACTCCTACCAATATCCATTGAAATGGCAAAGAGAAACCTCACTGGGATATGGAATTTCACTAATCCTGGAGTCGTCAGCCATAATGAGATTCTGGAGATGTATCGTGAATACATAGACCCTAATTTCACTTGGAAGAACTTCACTCTCGAGGAACAGGCTAAGGTAATTGTTGCTCCAAGGAGCAACAATGAGCTTGATGCCTCCAAACTGAAGCAGGAATTCCCTGAACTCTTAGGTATTAAGGAATCCCTTATACAGAATGTCTTCAAGCCAAATCGAAAGGCCCCTGTAGCTTGAAAATTAAAGGTTTGAATTTATAATTTCGAGTGTTGTTCATGTGGGTTGTTTCAATATCTTCGCCACGTGAATCTGTTCCCATGTTATACGCAGTTTTTTCCAGTTATGTATTGATGATGTATTTTATCAGTTGTGTTGGTCAATAAATGAGCGGACATGTTACATTGATTTATACATGAAATTGATCTTATTCATAGTTTTACGTTATGATTCATTTGAGTCAATCATCTACTTGTATAATATTTTTTTTAGGATAATTCTATTTGTACATAAAAAAACCCTACTGAATTCTTTACAGTAGATTAATTCGACAAAATATATTGACTCCAAAATCTCGCAAGAAAATGGTAAAATCCATTTGAAATTCAAACCCTACCCAAACCAAATCTGCCCCAAAATTAGATAATCTCTCCCCTCTCCCCTCTCCCCTCTCCCCTTGCACATTTTCAGCCCGTATTGAAGACCTCTCGGTGGCGAATCTACATCCACAACGACAAACGTATTGAAGACCTCTCGGACTGTGATTTCTCTCGTCAAAACATAACTATTGTTCCTTTGAATACTTATTGAATGTTGCGTTGATTGACCAATTTTCGAGAATCCCTGATGCAAGTCGAGCTTTAATGAAGTCATTCGTGAATGCTGGGACAGAAACATAAAATAAGCACACTACCATT